GCCTCATTAACTAATTCATGTTCTTTTTCTCTGAGTGAGGATATGTTCCAATTTCCGACTTTAAGCTCGCACTGGTGGTGTCGTTTTCATGGAACCTTTTCTGACGTGCTGCAATGGCATCGCGCAGTCTTGGCCGTCCCCTGGGCCTTTTGCCGGTCTGATTTGCAAGGAACAGTTGCCTAGCCTTCCTTTCTGGAGGCATTCAGGTTTCCCATGTTCGACTTGAGTGCAAAAATGCATGGGGTATTTATGAGGAACATTCAGGGCATGCTGTAAAAATTCTGCCCAACCATCTCATGCATGCTGCCGTTGAAACATTCGGTGCATAAGACTAGCTAGAAAATCCAGACATCCAGTTTTGTTTATTTTCAAGCTTAACTCACTCCACTGACTTCAAGAGGTTGTGAAGGAAAGTATATAATAAACATGACCTCAGTCATTGGTTTATTTTTAATCTACACTGATGCTGAAGTCATTCATGTCTTCGATGTTTTATAAGAGCTCGTTTGAAGGCCTTGTCGGAATGAGAATATCGTCAGCAGACTTGAAATTGCTTAATTTTTGTCCATATTCCCTCAGTCCTGATTTTTCTATTGAAAGACAGGCGTATTTTACAATTTTGAATTTGCTGGTCTTTTCATAGAGTTTATTACTGACCGTTGCATTTTTTAAATATTTCTTTTCATCATTTTATCCAGTAGGCATTATTCGGGTCTTTGTTCATTTTGCACTTATTCTTACTTCAAGAAAAGAGACACGGAACGATGAATGAATTTTTTTGATTTCATCAAACCTTCCTTTATTAATGTGAATGGTATGACCTGACTCTACTCATTATCTACAGAGCTAATTTGAAAGGCATAAATGGTCGAATTAGTCTCGTTAACTCCTGTGCCATTAGCTGGTTATCTCGAGATTAACCATACAGAAAAAACTAAAGGAAAGTTAATAACCATCCGCCCTGCTTAGACTGTCATGATGGGGCCATTTCTGGCACTCATTAATTCATTAAATCAGTGAGGGAACCCTGATCACTAATCCATGCTATGAACCAGAAGGGCTTTATGAAGACAGACTAGTCAACAACAGCCATGTGACAAGCATAGTGTGTAGCGCCTTGTTTGCTTTCCACACATTAGTTCTCATTTATCTCCGTTTAAGGAAGAAATACGAATGACTCGACCGATGCTCGATCCCAGAACTTTTCGATTCTGAATCCGACACTACCAATTGATCAACTTCGGTTTTTGATGACCCCGGTTTTTTATGAAAATCCTTCGGGGGTACCGTAATCGTCATCGAACCGTCTACACCATTCCCCGTACCGCATCCTGATATGCAATCCATATATAGGTTGTCATTGACTTTCTACATTGGAAACACCAAGGTCGAATTATGGAGAAGATAGGGAAGAGCAGCGCAGAGTTATAAGATCTCTCGCAACAGCGTTTCCCCAGAGAAATATAAAAAATGAAATTTAGGACATGCGGAATTGTTAAATCTGATTAGCTCACGTACAGTTTATACCAAGTGCAGATTCGGTCCAAATAACAGATTTAAAACTATAAATGGAACGAAGTACTCAGTCACGGGATAAATTACAGATTACTGTAATTTTTGATTTATCCACCGTTCCATGGTGCTCCAGTCCAAACTGAACGTGCATGAACTGCAGTCCCATCATCGAAGACACTCCGCCGGAGGTCGACCAGGTGCCGTATCCAATTTTCGTGTCGTCCTCGATTTGTGCATCCAAAATCGATACATCTCAATGATACAGATCTAGGAGTCTTCGAAGAGAAAATTTAGTGATGTCGAGTGATGTTAACTTTGACGTTGCGACGCCGTCTTGATCGCCCTGTTTTAAAATTTAAATCCTGACCGATTTGCCAGTGAATTAATCATAAGACGCATCATGGGAAAAACGTCGGGGTGTTTTAAAGATTCGGCAGTTTGGCCGTTTTTTATACTACATTTGCTTGAGACGACTTATCAGGTCGAAGATCAGTGCGTAAAAACTGCCCATGCACTCGGTGGTCAGACGTTAGTGGTGATTACGTTAAGTCGAGTTGACGTGAGGTTGTCTTCGGCGGGAGACCTCACTGATTACTCATTGCGTCCCGAAGCGGCCTACCACCGCTGTCCGGCCAGGGACAGGGTCGATCTTAACGCTGAGCACGGGTTCAGGCTCGCCACAGGTGGCCAGGGCCTGGAATTCGGCCCTTCGACCGGTGGAATCTGATCGGGTGGCAAATCTTTCCCGCTGTTGTCATAAAATCCTCTCGTTCGCGTCAGTAAGTCATCTGTTGCTGAGCGGCGAAGCGGCCAATCGTTCGATCACCTCGATACGGCCGACTGATTGATTGGTTAATCGTCTGAATTATTCGATCAATTAATATTTTGTACTCTGTTTAAACAAAGTACATGGCATCGGTTGTGGACTGAAGTAGAGCCTTTCACGACACGTGGATTGGTGAACAGTAGTCTTGAACTTCCTGTACGACAGTTGTAAGTGTTCTCGTGCATTTGTCAGCTAAACAA